GGCAGGGAACACGAGAACACTTTATGAATGGTTTTAAATTTTATGCAAGCATAAAAATAATTCTATTTACAGAGGACTTTCAGTTGTAATGAGATTCAGGCAGTGTGTGTAGGCCTAATATTTCCACAGTTAGTTGTGTTAATCCTTTTTTTTTAACTTTAATAATAGTATTGAATTAATGTAGACTTAATAGAATCATTGCTATTAGATAATAGAACAAACAAATAACCAATAATCGAACCTACTAAATTATACTTGCACTGTATACCTGATGGTCAGGTATCCATTTCTGTCCTTTATTAGTACAGAATTTATGACTTTTTGTAATGCACTTTCTCAGAATCTTTCTGTGTATTTTAAATTGTTGTATTCCAAATGCGCACAGAATCACATGACCTCAGGCGTATCCTTTTATGTCCTCAGTATGAAGTGAAGGCTCCGATGCCCTCAGCCTGCTTCAGAAACATCTGTAAGCAGATGGCAAAGATGCACGAAGCCATTTATGAACTTTTACCTGAAGAACAGACACAGGTGAGATCTTTTTGTTTTCTCTACTCTTTTTGTGTCTATGACAGCTTGTTGATCAGAGACTTGAGAGTTGTGTATCCATATACAGATGCTGTTTCTGAGGATCAATGCCAGTTTCAAAATGCATCTGAAGAGGCAGCTGGCTCGGCTTGGAGTTATTAATGATGGAGGACCGCAGCATGGGTAAGTGCCCTGAAAACCAGCTAATGATTGGAGTATGTTGATATGACAGAGCAGCACTTCCTGCTTCGCTCTGAAGAGAAGTAGCACCTCTTTTCCTGTTGGTGTTCCCCGTTGTTTCACATTTTATTGAAAGAGAATTTTGAACATTACATGAATACTTGACATGTCTTTATATCTGCTATATTAAAGTGCTAGAATTGTACTTAACAAACCTGACACAAATTTAGAGTTCCACTTCTGTGAGTTAGTTTTGGAATTAACGTAGGTGATAGGTGTGTGTCAGTGACAGCTGCCACGGTGCCAGAATCATTGCTGCCAATTTTGAAAGAATATCCTCATATGTGGCTCTCATTTTTCTTAAAAACAAAAATAAGGTAAAAAAAAAATCTGGTAATTCTTTGTTTTTACGTTCATCGGGCCCCAATGTGACCAAATATCAAAGAGAAATTAAAAATGCTGCTGTGGAAGAGTTCAGGTCTTAGGAGGTTATAAACTGCTTCTTGTCAGAGCATAGCTCTTCCCCATCTTTCATGTCTTTGACACTTTGACTCGTGTTTGCAGGCTGGTGGTGGTAGACGTGGCGTTCTACACCGAGAACATCCAGGGGCTGAAGAGCCTCGAGAGGCTCGACCTGAACATGGTTGAGGTCTGGGAGCAGAAGAGGTGATGGAGGATGGAATCTGCATCTCCAGAACTGACCTTACCTCAGCAGTTATGGGAGCCTGACCCCCGGGGGCTGGCTGAGGCTGGAAGAGGCCCAAAGGGACCAAAAATGCGAGTATGGGAGAAGAGCAGCAGCATACCGGTGCTTCAGAGACTGTTCAGAAACGCACAGCGCCTGGTGAAAAACTGTTGCCACCTCATCGCAGTGTGTGCAATTCAATAGAAAATGAAAAAATAAATTATTACTGTTTTAGTGGGAGGGCAGGATGTGGATTATTCTTATGAAATTTGGGGGTAATTTATTTTTCTTTCTCCGGAAACATTCTATACTGGGTTAGGCTTTTTCCTCCAGCAGTCTGCAATGCTGGAGCTGACAGGATTTTTATCAACACCGCATGCTCGGCAGGTTACCCTTTTGCATACTCGGAGAGCTTGGGAGGGGTCATTCTTATTGCTTAAAAAAATCAACAGGGTTCCTGTTCCATGTCAACACTATTCCAATCCTCTCTGATCAGCTGCTTTTGGGTTTATTTGCTTACTTTTTTGTACTCCAAAATAATAATAACAGTAGCTGAGAGAAAGGTTTAATTTCAGTATGTGGGCATAGTGACAAGATTCACTTCAAAAGGTTTAACTTCCACCTTAAAACAGTTTGGTCATGCAGTTGCTTCAGCCCAGTCAGATCCTGGTCGTTGTGATGATTGACAGTGGCGCAGAACTCGCTAAACTGATGCAGAGAGTTTGCAGGATGTGAAGCATGAATATCAGCTGTTAACTTTTGCACCTTCCAGTCTGTGTGAGCTGTTAGTTTTCTGCGAAGATGGAAGAGAAAATCTGATTAAACCTATCATCCAGAATACCTTCTTCTGATGCTGCAATATTGTGTCACAACTCCCCACAGGGGTAAAAGTAACAAGTGCTTACAGCTCTCCCTCCTCCTGCTAGCAGAGTTTTCTTCATGACATCAGATTTGATCAGATTTTCTCTTCCTGACTGTTCAGCTACCGAGAGCTCCCGTCACACGAAGCAAACGACCTGTCCAGATGCAGTCACAGATCAGTCTCTGCAGCAGTAAGAACACTACAGGCTGACAGGCTGCTGTTTGGAACCATTCGACTCCCAAATGCAAATATTCATCTACTCTCCTAGTCTATGTTGGCTTTTGTAAGCAGCTTGTTTCCAAGATAAATCTCCTGGTATGAAACTAATGAGCTGGCATTGCAATAATTTGCCCTTCTGAAATGATTGATTAATCTAACATGTGCAGCCATAGTTATTCTTAACTCCCACACTAATCAGAAGGCATAAATGGTGTACATATGGTGACAAGCACAGTTGGATTAATGTGATGTGACTGCAGCGGTCAGCGTCAGGCGCGCCAGAGAACAGAAGCATTAACGATCATCACTGTCTGCTTCAGAAGTGCCTACTTTGAATCGACTATCAGAGACGACACATCTGAGCTCTCCACTACAGTGTGCCTACCATACCACTGTGTGTGTGTGTGAGTGTGTGAGAGACTTTTTGGGGTTTTGATGAGCATGTGTGTATGAGTCCAAATGAATCTGTTTCCTTCAAACCTGCTGTGAATAAAACAGGATGATGGAGCGACCTATTGTCAGTCTGTTCATCTGTTGCACATTGTCATCTTCAGAGCTAGCATACTTCCTGTCTGAGCCTCACAAAACATGTTAAGGCAAATGTAAGAGTGTTATTATTTCCAGTTAGCCAATGTTACTACATCGGTCTATTCTGCAGTTCTAGCTGTATTCATTTTCTTAAAACTCACATCAAACACTTCCTGTAAGATCTTTGGCTTGAAACCACTTAAGTTTTTTAAAAATTTGATTTTCGACCCTTTCTATCACTTTCCAAATTGATATGAAAGATTTTACATGAAGTATTTGATTCAAGCGGAGTTACTGAAGTAAGGATAGAGAACACTTAAAAGAGATCGTTTGACATTGCTGGATGTACTAGATCTTTCTGACATCGGCTTTTTGGATCATGTATCGCTTGCTTTCACTGAAGTAAGCTTTAAGTTACTCTAGACAGTGAGAATGACGATGGCTAAAAATATGAAAGGTTTGTCATATCTATGGTTGATGGAACAGCCAAAAACTTTACAAGGTTTACTTGAAATATTACTATTACTTGATAACTAAAAAAAAAAAAAACAGCATCAAGAACTCCTACCAATGAGCTAGAACAGGCCAGCCTAAACAACAGTACAAAACTCTAGTCCTGGCAGCACAAAGACCAGAGGCAACAAGACTGAGACTCTCCAACTGTGACTCGTACACTGAAAGGCACAATCAAGTGACTAAGATGATGTACAGGAGCATCTATGGACTGGAAGTCCCAAGCCCTGATGGGAGACGACACCAAAGGTGCTTGAGAACAGCAGGGTTATGGTCCTGTGACAATTTGAGTTTCAAGCAGCTTTTCGCCAGCCAACTAGAGATGGTGGTGGCTGACAGGGAGGAGATTGCTGAGATTGCCACATGTATCACAAATGCAGACAGTAACATCAGGAAGAAAGAAAATGGAAAAAAGATGAGTGCCAGGAGCTGAAGAGGCAGCTGGAGCAGATGAAGTGATCCCAGTGGGTAGGAAACTGGAGGAGCAGCTCAAGCAGATTCCAGCAAGGGGGACTGGTGTATATTTATTTATTAGAACAAATGGTAAAATGGGCTGTATTTGTATAGTGCTTTACACGTCCAGTCACCCACACATTCACACACTGGTGATGGCAGCTACATTGTAGCCACAGCCACCCTGGGGCGCACTGACAGAGGCGAGGCTGCCGGACACTGGCGCCACCGGGCCCTCTGACCACCACCAGCAGGCAACGGGTGAAGTGTCTTGCCCAAGGACACAACGACCGAGACTGTCCAAGCCGGGGCTCGAACCGGCAACCTTCCAATTACAAGGCGAACAGAACACAGCTGCCCCAAATTAACAGTATAAATAATGACCTAAATCAGTAGTTATGTGCAAGCTCTGAATGACAAAATGTAAACCAAAAAAAGCACTTTATTATTTATTCTAGTTACTTTTTGATTTGGGTACAAAAACATGAATTCTAGTATATACGAATCTCTCTTCTGACCATTTAACACTGTGTGCTCTGTGATGAAATGATCATTTGTGAGTTTTGTGAGGAGGATCATCAGTAGTGATCCAATCTGAGTCTGCAACTAAGATCAAACGGGTTTTAAGTCTGTTTGATCCTAAGTTAAGGCCGAGTGTCAGGTGACGAGCAAGACCAGGAGCATAATTATTCACTGATCTTTTATCGTTGGCTGCAATAAGGAATTGACAGGTTTAATCACTTTATATGCTAATGGGGTCACAGCTCTTAATGCTCCTGTCTACCTATAAGATCCAAATGACTTTGTATGTTTTTGAGCAAACCCAACACATTGATGCAGGAGTAAAGGGATGCAGCAGTGATTAGAAGTAGCAGCAACTCTGAGAATAGCACAGAGGCGCTGTGAGATCAGCCATCATTTTCATTTTTCTGGGCCTGTTCACAGAACTTTCTGATCTCACCTTGTACACAAAAAAACATAAAACAAATAAAGAATGAGTCCGACGTTTCCACAAAACACAGGAAGCTCTGCTGACCCGTACTGCACTTTTTTATTGACACAAGAAAAAAGATGACCACAGTGAGCCAGACTTTACAGTGATTGTCTTGCAGTAACAGCAAATTTCTTCTACACAGTGCTGGAGAAATTTGGAAGCACGATGAATTTGACCTCTGACCTTTTCAGGCTGACTTTACACTGACACAACTGTTTAAAACAAAAGCTGTAACAACCCTGCTGTTCATCAGAAGAACAGAATCTCTTAAAAGTCATCTTTAAGATCCAAATGGCTTTGAGCATTTTTCCCAGAAGGCCTCAGTGGTCAAGGATCCGCAGATTTCCTGAAACAATCTTGTTCTCCAGCATGGCTCCAGCAGGAATATCTATCCGGTCACCATGATTGGCTATGATGATGACAGTACCCTGATGAATAAAACGATTAACGAGTGAAAAACTGACAGAAATGTCACGTATTCTTGCAACCTTTGTTCGAAATCAAAGGTTATTGTTAAAAAATATAGTTGAGTAGCCCTGACAGGCTGGTGACCTGTCCAGGGTGTATCCCACCTCCCGCCCTGTGGGATAAGCTCCATGAAAACTGTTGAGTCTGGCTAAAAATCTTTAAGCTGGTCTTTCTTTGAGCAAACATGTTAAAAGGTGAACTAAACATTCTGTGTATGCACTACCTATTTGCTCTAAATTTCAATCAATTTGTTCACAATGGTTAGTCAAGTTAGAAAGTGAAGGAGCTGCTCGTTATTCTGTCTAACATGGGACATAAATGAAATGTTTAATCTGGTCTGCATAGCAATAATCCTCAAAATCGGGTGGGGCCGTTTCCCCCCATTTCCTTGGAGAGTCGCAGTGTTTTAAGATTTAACTCTGAGTTTCTTTCCCTGCAAAATACATCTTAAAATGATCTCATTCAAATCAGAAAATAGTTGCAATGGAATTTCTCTTGAGAGTGGCTGAAATAAACAGAGGTATCAAGGAAAGATTTACATTTTATACTGTAAATTCTATCCAAGGACATTTCTGTTGGCAAGTATATTTGTAAATATCTCACAAAGTTCAGTTAAGGTGGAATTCCTTTCTAATTTCTGGAACAGTACTGTAGGCCCGAATAAGGCTCGACGTTAATTCAATTCAGAGAGCTGAAATAATGCTCTGTAGAAGTATTTGATTTAAGCCTGTAGGTGGCGCTGTTCAACTGTGCCTCAGTTATTGGAGCGGTTGCTTACTTTGAGAGAGACGTTCTTCCCGAAGGTGACATCTCCAGACACAGTGAGGTGATCAAGCTCCAACATGTCAGGGATGTTTTCAAACCTTGCCAGAAACTCCTGAACCTGTGGAGCAACAAAGCAAAAAGCAACCAAACCCTGATTTTATTATTTAGGCTCTCTAACATTATAACATAAAACACCTTCAGATGACTGTTCAGACTTATTTAAATAAAACTTCATTTAAACTGAAACATGCTCCTACTTTCTCACTACGCTGAGCAGCAAGCAGGTCATGATGTTGTAGCTGAAAACATTATCTTTCCATTTCCTGAGAACTGATTTTTTTTTCCTTTAGTTAACTTGTAGTTAGATTTAATTAGAAATATAACGTGATTAAACCTGTCAATTCCTTATTGCACCCAATGATAAAGTACAGAAGCTGAGAGAGGCTTGGATCGAGAGTGGAGATGATGCTTTCTGGGTGGCAGCTGACCTTTGTGAAGGAGCTGCCCAGTTTGACATGAGGCGTGGTTGGGAACTCTCTCTTCTTGCTCATGGTGAGAGAGCCGGCGTCCAGGGTGTACAGATTGGACATCACCAGCAGCAGGTCAGATGATGTCTTCACGGGCAGGAAGCGGCTACGGGGTACGTTCACACCCATGGCATTGTTAAAGCTTTTGATGGCAGCACCCACAGCTGTCTCTAGCTGGATGACATTCAGCCCACCATCCAGGGTCTACAGAGAGATGGAGCGCTTCAGTCAATAGGAGGAAAAACAGTTCCAACAGGCTCATAATCAAATTTGTTCATTCCACTCCTTATCGTCCACTCATCTTAGTGTGGTACTAATACACTTAGTACCCCACTAAGATGAGTGGACGATAAGGAGTGGCATGAACAAATTTTTTGAACTCAGGACTTTACACAAGTCCTGAGTTCAAAAATAGCTTTCAAAATAAACCAAATCTTTTGACAAAATGTGCAGAAAAAACTGCTCTGAGCTAATGTCAAAAATATCTATTGTGTAAGATAAGGCCGGGGATGTATGATAACACCAATTTGTATCCTAAGACGACATATTAACAGTATTCGTCTGATAAAGCCTCTTGAGAAAATGGAAGCAGGGTTAAAAAGAAAAGTAAAAGACAAGCAGCACACACCCAAAACATTTTAATACTGCCCCCAAAACTTTTCACAGCCTCATTACTTGAAGTACCTTTAAAATATCGCTTCATATCACAACACCAGAGAACACAAAAGCTCAGGACTGTGATTATGAGGTTTTTAAAGGTCCTTGAGTATTTTGTGGTACTTTGATTCTTAAATATCAGTTTTCTGACATTACAAGTTACAAACTTTGCAGCCTCTAGGAGCAACGTATATGTTCTACATGCAGTTTTGAGTTTGACATCCGACTCTTTTTCCTCCCAACACCAAGCGGCACCTCTTTGTTGGATGGTTGTATTTAAGAAGGATCTGAGAATTGTTGCTTAGTCATGAGCAGGTGTTTTTTTAAGTTATCCATGAAAAGGGAATCACAGTGTCACTCATGTCAGGCACACTGGATTCCTTTGGCTGAGGTTAGTGGTAATGTTTTTGCAGTGGTAGCTCCTACAAACAAGTCTAACAGCATAATGTTAAACAAAAAGATTTCCGCAGGATTACCTTTGGATTGACGATGATCTCCAGGTCCATGGAGTTCTTCTCTTGCAACCTCTTGATGGCAGGCAGAGAGATCCACAAATTGTTGGTGTTGAAGATCTTGAACTTGGTAACAGACTTAAATTCGTCAACATGGGCCTTGGGGACCTGTGCGATCTCCAGCAGCCTCAGACGATCCTCATACTGGATCAGAGTACCACCCTGGACAGAAGGGAAACAGGCTGCACAGGCCGAGCCACACTTTGTTCAGCCGGGGCCAGATCGCCATGAGGGAGATACTAAACATACCTTGACGTCGGCTCTGGTCTTGTCTGTGACCTCCATGATGAACTCGCAGCGTTTGTCGGCCGGCTGGCTCATCAGATGGTTGAGGATGAACAGGTCAACTGTGGCTCCCAGGTTGTCGATGTTGGAAACAAAGATGTACTCTTTCCCTTCAGCAATGAGTTTGTCCAGGAGCCCGGAGTTTTGGAAGCTGGCATAGATGTCTCCGTGCCCTGGTGGGTACCAGGCCTCAGCATTTTCGCCACTGGTGCCCATGCTCTTAGCAATTGGCAGGAGGGACTCCTTGTTGATCCTCGGATACCTATTAAGAAAATAAAGAGTCCGTCATTTAGACTATAAAGAACTGAAGAGCTCTCTATTCCAAGAGAAGTGAAGGAAAATCAGATGGTGGACAAAACAAATTTACCCTCAAAGCAACTTTGACACTTTTATTTTTGGACAGCAGATGTAAACGATGGCCCTTATTTACCAACAGTTTCTACACACAAATCTGTGCGCACAAATGTTTAATGCTCAAATCACTGACTTATAAATTATATTTTTCTATATTTTGTGCACTTTTGTACTTGTCTGTTTACTACCAAATCAGAGAAGACAGCATAGCTCGATATGTCTTCAGAATCTTGAATCTGGAAATGTTTTTTTAACATCATCATAAAAATTAGTAGTGAATGCTGATGCATACATGCCTGTTCTTCTTTATAGTTCATGTAGTGTACTTCAAATCAAAAGACATTTCAAGTCTTCTAAAAACTTGCTTTTCTTATTTTTCCTTATAGTCGTTGTCCTAAAGCCTAATCCGACTGTTTCGCTCTGGAGTCAAATCACTGGATTGTACTTTTTGATGAGTCCTCTGTGTTTGCTCTCATGAAGTTTTCTTTTCAGTGCAGACCTGAATATTAACATCAGGTCTGATGGACAGTGATCTGGTCTTTACTTGTCTGGATGTTCTGAATGGATCCAGCATTGTCTTCCTTCCAGGTTTTGTTTTTTTAAGAACACACCAAAGATTATTTGTCCACTGCTAACGCTCCAGCTTTCCTTTTAATGGACTTGTTGTAGTTTTACTGCTTACCACTTTAACAATGACATATGTACTGTGGGGCAAAAAGTATTTAGTCAGCCACCGATTGTGCAAGTTCCCCACCTAAAATGATGACAGAGGTCAGTAATTTGCACCAGAGGTACACTTCAACTGTGAGAGACAGAATGTGAAAAAAAAAATCCATGAATCCACATGGTAGGATTTGTAAAGAATTTATTCATAAATCAGGGTGGAAAATAAGTATTTGGTCAATAACAAAATACAACTCAATACTTTGTAACATAACCTTTGTTGGCAATAACAGAGGTCAAACGTTTACTATAGGTCTTTACCAGGTTTGCACACACAGTAGCTGGTATTTTGGCCCATTCCTCCATGCAGATCTTCTCGAGAGCAGTGATGTTTTGGGGCTGTCGCCGAGCAACACGGACTTTCAACTCCCGCCACAGATTTTCTATGGGGTTGAGGTCTGGAGACTGGCTAGGCCACTCCAGGACTTTCAAATGCTTCTTACGGAGCCACTCCTTTGTTGCCCGGGCGGTGTGTTTTGGATCATTGTCATGTTGGAAGACCCAGCCTCGTTTCATCTTCAAAGTTCTCACTGATGGAAGGAGGTTTTGGCTCAAAATCTCACGATACATGGCCCCATTCATTCTGTCCTTAACACGGATCAGTCGTCCTGTCCCCTTGGCAGAAAAACAGCCCCATAGCATGATGTTTCCACCCCCATGCTTCACAGTAGGTATGGTGTTCTTGGGATGCAACTCAGTATTCTTCTTCCTCCAAACGACGAGTTGAGTTTATACCAAAAAGTTCTACTTTGGTTTCATCTGACCACATGACATTCTCCCAATCCTCTGCTGTATCATCCATGTGCTCTCTGGCAAACTTCAGACGGGCCTGGACATGCACTGGCTTCAGCAGCGGAACACGTCTGGCACTGCGGGATTTGATTCCCTGCCGTTGTAGTGTGTTACTGATGGTGACCTTTGTTACTTTGGTCCCAGCTCTCTGCAGGTCATTCACCAGGTCCCCCCGTGTGGTTCTGGGATCTTTGCTCACCGTTCTCATGATCATTTTGACCCCACGGGATGAGATCTTGCGTGGAGCCCCAGATCGTGGGAGATTATCAGTGGTCTTGTATGTCTTCCATTTTCTGATGATTGCTCCCACAGTTGATTTTTTCACACCAAGCTGCTTGCCTATTGTAGATTCACTCTTCCCAGTCTGGTGCAGGTCTACAATACTTTTCCTGGTGTCCTTCGAAAGCTCTTTGGTCTTGGCCATGGCGGCGTTTGGAGTCTGACTGTTTGAGGCTGTGGACAGGTGTCTTTTATACAGATGATGAGTTCAAACAGGTGCCATTCATACAGGTAACGAGTGGGGGACAGAAAAGCTTCTTACAGAAGACGTTACAGGTCTGTGCGAGCCAGAGATTTTCCTTGTTTGTGGTGACCAAATACTTATTTTCCACCCTAATTTACGAATAAATTCTTTACAAATCCTACCATGTGAATTCATGGATTTTTTTTTCACATTCTGTCTCTCTTCAAGTTCCTGGGAGTCCACATCTCCGAGGATCTCACCTGGACGACCAACTGCTCCAAGCTGGTCAAGAAGGCTCACCAGCGCCTCTTCTTCTTGAGGACTCTGAGGAAGAACCACCTGTCCTCAGACATCCTGGAGAACTTCTATCGCTGCACCATCGAGAGCATCCTGACCAACTGTATAACAGTCTGGTACGGGAATTGCTCTGCCTCGGACCGGAAGGCGTTGCAGAGGGTCGTGAAAACTGCCCAGCGCATCGCCGGAGCACCACTTCCTGCCATAAAAGACATCTACAGGAAGCGGTGTCTGAAAAGGGCTGGGAAAATCATCAAAGACCCCAGTCACCCATCACATGGACTCTTCACCCTCCTGCCCTCTGGGAGGCGCCACAGGAGCCTCCGGACTAAGACCACCAGGTACCGGAACAGCTTCTTCCCCACAGCTGTCAGACTCCTGAACTCTGCCTCCTGACATCTGACCCACGTTAAACTCATGGACTGAACATACACACACCCACAATGGACAACTGTACCCTCAAACACAATAATAACATGGACTGAACCACCACTCACAACCACCAGCACTTTATATAGCCTCTGTAGAAACTATCTACACCCTCACTTATCTTAACTGCACTACTGTATAGCTCTGTGTAAACAATCATTCTGTACATTCGATAATTTTTAATCCTACAACTGTTTACAACTTGCATAGTTCCCATTTCTGTATAGCTGTATATCCCAGATTCTGTAAAGTTATTTATTTCATATTCTGTATAGTTTTTCATATTTATATCCTGTTCATAGCCTGTACATAGCTTGTACTCACTACAGCCTGTACATACTTATAGTTATAGAATATTCACAACATACTTCATACCGTGTACATTATAACATACCATAATAGACCCATTTCTGTAATATACTCACATATCTATATTATTGCTAATATATATTGTAATATATCTATATCACTAAAGCACTTCTGGATGGATGCAAACTGCATTTCGTTGCCCTGTACCTGTGCATGTGCAATGACAATAAAGTTGAATTCTATTCTATTCTATTCTATTCTATTCTATTCACAGTTGAAGTGTACCTCTGGTGCAAATTACTGACCTCTGTCATCATTTTAAGTGGGGGAACTTGCACAATCGGTGGCTGACTAAATACTTTTTTGCCCCACTGTAACTTCCATCTGTCTCTGTTTCCATCCACCCAAAAAACAATGAACCATTTCTTTAATCACCTCTGGCTTTTTACACTTATTTCATACTTAACAGATTTTGTTCACAGACTCTCCGTATGTGTGTGTGTGTGCGCACTGCACCTGCTCTGATTGAAAGTGTGGATTTTGACTTGGTGGTGTTTGTATTTCTGCAGGATCTTCTTTGTATCCTCGTCGGTGTTGAAGGAGTTCATGAGTACAAGCGGCACGTCAGCATTAAAGGTTTTGTTTAGATGCTGAAAACACACAATCATTTAGCACCATGTTAGAACAACAATTGCCTCAAGGTAGTTCACCAGAGGCAAAAACATGACCCTGGACTCATCCTGATCATCAGAGGTTAAGATGTGCAGTGTTTTTCTGCATTCTTACCTCAATTTGTTTCACTGTCAAGTCCAAGAAGGTGTTCTCATTGCGGACACTGATCAGACTCTTTGGGCCCTTGCAGCCCATGCTGGTTCCTAGACCGCCATTCAGTTTGACCACAGCAAGTTTGTTGAGACTGACAGCGATGTTGTCGGGTAGTCCCCTCGCCTTGATCCTGTCATAGGGCTGGATCTGAGCAAAATCCCACAAATGAGTAAGATGGGAGTTAAAAGTCTACGAAGAGTAGAGCTTTTTTTTAATACTGTAAAACAAAACAGTGAAGAGGCTCAAGTTAAGGTCAAGGTGAGATTGAACAAACAGTTCAGTTTGTTTTACATGTAAGTCATCAGGATGTTATGCAACAATACAACCAGGCTTTAGTCTGATAAGCACAGACAGCAATTCTCAATTCTTTATTTATTTGTCACATGTAGTTATAGCTGGTACAACATACAGTGAAATGTTTTTCCTGGCTAAAAAAGTACTCCCCCCGACTGTGCAGACATGCTAAAAAGGATTTTACATAAACTAAAAAAAAAAGGGGGGGGGGGGGGGGGGGGGGGGGGGAAGAAACAAAAGTTAAAAAGTAAAAAATAATATAAAAAACAATGTAAAAGTCCATATGTTTGTGCTTATAAGTATATATCCATGACGTGCAGGATATTGTACTGTAATAATTTAAATGAAAAAACTATAAAAATATACATTATTTACATAGTACAGATATATATAATAAGGTACGGATAAGGTTCAGCAAACAGCTCTGCAAGTTACACAGTGAAACCCATCAGTGCTAGATTTGTTTGTTCACTACAAAGCTGCTATGTCACCACCAGAAATGAGGAGTAACGCATGAAAAGTAGTGCATTACTGTAATCTGATTACTTTTCTCAAGTAACGATTAAAGTAAGGGATTACTATTGCAAAAAGTAATTCGATTACTGTACTTTCCCGTATGCACGCTGCGTTACTGCACCGTGATTTTGTTTGAGAGAGTGTCTCATGACAATGACGTACGAGCGTGCGACGTCCGTGGCAACAGACGTGTGCAGATCAACAAGTATGAGTAACATATTATGAGATATATATTATAATATGAGAGAGTATGATCGTGCAGCGCTTAAAGCTCGGAAGTACTGACATTACTTTGAGTTTGATTCTGTAAAAAGTAACAGAAACATTAGCGTCCGCTGTTCACTCTGTGAGGGAAGAAAACTTCTTTCTACAAAAAGTAAAGTTCAAATTGAGCGAGCACCCAGCACGCTGCCACGGGAGTGTGAAATCCACAGAGAAACCCCCAGATCCCCCCGCTGACATGGCCACTGCAGCACCGGGCAAACCTCCACCCGCCCCACTCCTGCTAAACAGGTGACAATAGATTTAAGAGCGACAGGACTCGGTGCCGATGAGTTTTTGATTTTATTTATTTTTTGCTGTGTTTTACTTGCATGTATTTGAAAGAGTGTGAACACAAAAAATATTTTATTTTATTTTATATGCTGGAATATGAAGAAAATAGCTTTAACTGTTAAACAAATTTCTTCAAGTCAAACACTGTTGCATATAATTTAATTTTTGCTTGATGCAATGTGCATAAAGTTGAAAGATTAAACCTAAAAAATGTTTTAAAAAAAACTTTTTCATTTGATTCAATTTTATATGATGGATTATGCAGAAAAAATAGAATTGGCCTGAAAGGTCTGTTGCTTTATTACGTATTCAGGTTGTGCATCATGTTTTTAAAAAGTAACTAAGCAATAAAGTAACGAATTACTTTTGAAAATAAGTAATCAGTAAAGTAACAGGATTCCTTTCTTGGAGAAGTAATCAGTAACTAATTACTATTTTAAAGTAACTTGACCAACACTGCTGACCACTGCAGACTGGGAGCTAGTTGTCCAGCTGTCACAATTTGCCCCTCTTTAAACTTTCTCAAATCCTCACGCTTGCCCATTTTTCCTGCTTCGACCAGATCAACTTTGGGGACACAATTTTCACTTGTTCCCCAATATATCAAATCCATGTTAGGAATATCTGCTTGCAGATATTACACAGAACCAAGAGTAATAAAAGACTGTCTGAAACTGTGATAGCAGCAGTCTGGCGCTCACAGGTATTACCTCATTATTTGAAACATTGACCATGTTTGTAACAGCATATATATCCATTACAGATAATAAGGAAAAACATAACACTTCCACATTCGTGATATAATGTTAATGTATATTTTTATAGAGAGATGTTTCTGTGGTACAAATGTCTACAGTAAGACCATTTACTTGAACCCTTTTTATATTCAGACAAACATGCATACCCAGATACAAATATATGTGTAGCTGGGTATTAGAACATGGACAAGTAAACTAAATGTGTATATATGTATATTCATATCATTTCTAGTAAGAATTAAATAAAAAAATGTGTAGGGAAACCAATTTGAATCTCTGTGGTGTTTTTTAGCTTCCAAATGGTGCATGCCGAATAAAGCCTGCTGGGTCTATACTGGGTGAAGCTGTAGTCTACAGTTATGGGCAGGAGGAGTTTTCTATTTTAAGGTTTTACTTGGATATTTGTGGCTCCATTATTAAACAGTAACTTTTTCCAAAACAGATAACCTCCCGTAACTGGAATGAACAGAGTTACTTTTGGAAGTGCAGTCTTCTGACTTTTCAAACCTCATGACACAGTGTGACACACAGAAAGGACACATGTATTTATGGTCACACTACACACCATATCAAAGCTGGATTTCTGCCCGTGCTTCTATAAACAGCTATCCAACAACAGAGCAACTGTTAAATATATAGCAAGTCACACTGTAACAAACACTGGGACATCTTGTATTGCTTTTCTCTTCATGCTTTGTGACGTTCTGAGGTTTTTAAAGATCTACAGGAATGGTGTGAGCTTGGAGGCCGACCAAAGACGGTCAGCTGCAGGTGATCAGCTATAGAGGAATCTATGACCTTTGCTCTATGACCTCAGTAAAGTCTTGCCTCACATGTTTGTGGATGTATTGGAGAGCAAATTGGGTTTAGTGTCTTGCTCAAGGATATTTGGCATGCAGACTGCAGCAGCCGGGAACTGACCAACAAACCTTGTGATTAATAGAGAACCTGCTCTGCCTGTTGAGCTACAGGAGGCCAAAGCTTGAGAAAACAAGTGGACAGCTCCACGGCCACCAGTGATTTTGGTTTTTAACAGCAAAAATGAATTATATCCATTATTCCTGTAATATTCCTTTGAGATATCCACAGCTCATCATGACTGTAAATATATTAGTGTTTGTTTCAACTCTGGAAAATATTCAGTCGAAGACTGAAATAAACTGACACATGAAAATGTGAGGGTGGTTTCATGGACAATGTCAAAAACTGTGTAAATAAAGGATTTAAAACCTCCATCACATTGTCTTGATGCATGCTCAATCACCAAGGTATGGAAATCCCACAAAGTCGATGCTGTACATATAAAGGCGAGTGTTACGCATGTCTTGCACCAGTAAACTTAGAACGCAGTGTCTCATTTTCTCTGAACCACGCTCATGACGACAGCGGTGGTTTGAGGCACAGGGTGATTAAGGTCAGAAGGGGAGTGCGAGTGGAAGATGTGTGGGTGCTCCGCACGACACTCTGAAATGCTCCAGCAGTCAGGCTAATCTTAGTCCTAACCTTCACTTGGCTGATATTTTTGGGAACACCGTAGGCAGGAACTGAACATGTGTGTGAAATGTCACCATGCTGACAAACAGCTGGCTTTGGCCTGAGCGTTCACTATCCTCAGATCTGGTTGCAGTAGCTTGTTTTTGAAGTATGACACCCGTCGCCACAGTGGTGTAGGAGAGTCAGGAGAGTGCATGTTAACCTTAGCATAAAGACTGGAGTTAGGTAAGTGCGCGCTAGCCTCACTGTTACAAGTTAATAAGTAAACATTGTACTCTAATAATACGATTACTCATCTTTAAAATGTTCATTTTTGAATTCACCTTTCTAAAACGTTGCCTGTTGATTTCTTTGAACTTTTAATATAATTCATCTGAAGGATAAATAAACACGTGAAAGAAATTGGTGTTTGGAATAAAGCACAGTGTAGATGGTGTTTGCAGCCATGAAGCCCATCACCACACTGGCTGCAAACTCTTGGGACAGGACATCTCTACATGAATTGAATTGAATTAATGATTAAGCTGAACTATGCAGTAAGTGAGTTTGCTTTTTAGGGGCATATAAAAGTCTTAAAAAATGTTTAATTCTTAATTTAAAAGCTTCAGAAGGTCTTTTCAAAGACTGTTCAGGGTTGGAGTTGATCTAAGAGTGGATGCTGCTCCTGCACATACTGTATAACATGTATACAGCTTTAAGATATAAACTGAAGCAGTTAGAAAATATTTGGAAAAATACATTTGCTCATCTGTAGATTATGTAATTATTCCCTTACAATTTAAGCAGCTGTGGATTGTTAGCAGGTCCCAACTGTGAGGTTTTTCTTACATATTTCTGTTGCCCTCAGATGGGTTATATTCTAGCTTACTTTTATTTAGCTTACTTCTAGAATAATTTATTAATCCCTGAGGAAATTATGTGGTCGCAGTTATTCCAAGACAGTAAGAACTGTAACCAACTAAACTACAAGTGCAGATGATGCGCAGAGAGTGACGGCGTGCAACTATCACACTGCGTACTTGCGCTTTAGATGGAACATTTAAAGCACATATGAGCACCAGCACAGAGCACTGCAATGTCAAAACTCAAGCCGTGTTAACCAGAAACATTATCTTGTGCTCACCAACTCCTCCGGTGGCCGGCTGATCTTGGCCCAGTCCACTGAAGGCCCTTTGACTTGCAGGAATCTGTGGAAGAGCTTCTTGAAACCATCAAAATCTTTTCTGGAGATCTGAAACAAAAGAAGTCAAATATCAAAACTCACTGATTAGGAATCTATGTTTAACGTCTATATGTTGCATTTATCTAGAGTGATTTTTCACTGGCTTTCAAACTACCCTTCCTACATTAAATAAATCAATACAAAATAAGCTTTATTAGAAACAGTCAGTCAGTCGGACGCCAGAAAGGTTGGCTATACATCAATAAAAGCTTCAAACTAAAAACACAAAGGTGATTTTATTTACAAACATTTTGTTTTTGTCAGCTAATCATATTAAAGCTCTAATCTGCAGGTTGGTTTACATGTCTACCCTGGTTTCTTAAAGTGCACCCCTAATAATATTTTATGTAGCCCACAAGCATAACAAGGACAAAGTGGACTTCATTCACAGTGCATACTGTGGTATATTAGTGCAGAACAAGACCAAAGGGATGTCTTTAGAATTTCAACTTCTTATGTGATCATAGCAGATGAAACCTTCATAACTTGGATAAGACAGCTGGTTTCAAGAGGTGAAATGGCTTTAAACCAGCACAAAAACATAATCGACCACGAACAACCACCTCATTAAAAGACAAACTGAAAACATTTCACACAAGCGCAGTGTCCCTGGACTTTGAGACCTCACACACAAACACAAAGTTCATCTGTGAAAACAGGTTAGACGTGTCTAAAGTTGCTTTTTCACTTACTCATATATGCTTGCTTCATAAATTAGCACCATAACAGGTTTATAAGCTATCAATTAATGTTGTAGCATGTTAAAAGAAAAGGAGCAGCATTGTCTTCGTTCATCCTTCAGAGTGACAGCTACACCACATTAATATCTTCATAATGTCTGAGGCCGATTACTGAAGCAGGTATGAATCATTTACAGGACCTCTGGGTTGTTCACCTCAGGTTCCCCCGTCAGGCCAAATTTCTGCCAACAAAATCTACGTGCTCAGATGAATGTAATGGACTCTCTGTACGCAATAATGTACAAACATTTGTTCTACATATATAACAGATCAATGAGTCCATGGCATCTGTCACCTCGTGTGTCTCCCAAAAACTACAAGAATGTAACAGAAAATTACAAATTTAACAAAAGTAGCGAATCAGATGCTGTCTTATGCTACAGTGCAAACACCGCATCCGTCAAAAACCACATCGCTTCAGAGCTAAATCTGACAAAATGAAAATTACTAGTAAAAACCAAACAGTTAATGGCAAAAAAGCTGATGGCGCTTTGTGTCATTACAACCTACGCACCAACTCTGTGACGACCCTGTGATAGAAACTTTGTTTTAATTTAACAAAACCATAAGAAAGAAGATGACAAAAGCTCGAAGGATGAGAAGAACAAACACAAAAAAAACGTACACATGGCCAGTCGCCAGTCTGCGTGCAGTAAAAGTAATGGGTATGTGTTACCTTATTTGACATATGCATGTTTTCTCTCACATATTAACTACAATTAGGTAAATGAAACCTCAATTAACAAAACTGTAGAGGGAAAAATTGTATTAAATTACAAAAAAGCTTTTCTGGGGCTGCACGAGATAATCCTATGCAGAAAAATCCCACGTTTACTCCTGTCCTGTGATGTTTGAGAGGATTTTTCAGAGTTTCAGAGCATTTGTGGGGATGTTTGGAGGGAGCAGCAGAGCCAAAGGCGTTCCCACCTCTGCTTCAGCTTTGTTGGTTGTGGTGAGCAGAGCCTCCAGCTCGCGGTGCATCGAATCCTCATGTTGCTGACGGAGCTTCTCCTCAAACTCTGTCATTGCTCTCCGAGTCAGATCTGTAAGCATACGCATGGGTCGTCTTCATTTAATTTAACTGTACATGTGTTGCTCAAAGATTAAATACACAGGCTGTTACTGGTTTCCAAATATATTTTAGAAAAAGAGCCACAGTTAAAGGAACAATTATAATCTGTGAATTGGAATTTATTCTTTACTGCATTCTTAGGTGCCAGCTGAAACTTTGAATATATTTTAATATTCATTTAGCTAATTTCTCTGTCCTTTTATTTCTCTGTCAGCTACATAAATTATAAGTGCTTTAAAAAAAAAACCTTTAAAGCTCAGGTTTGACAGGAATTGTAATTCTGGAATTAAACACTTGTACTTTATCCTTAATACATCAAATATTAGGTCACACATTAAGCTTGGGAACAAATAATTACATACGGAATTACATAAGAAAAAAAAGTTAGTGCAACACAAACCAGTCAGCAGAAGCTCACTTTTAAAACAGTACGAGGTGCTTTTATGTCAGTGTTTGTGTCAATACTAAAGTCTGACTTTCAGGATGTCTGAGGACGTGCTGGAGTCTTCAAGTCGCTTTTTTACCCCTCGGGTAATCTTGGTGACTGAGAGTTTAAGGAAAAACCAGAAAATCTATTGACACTAACAACACGAATGTCTGAGGGAACAGACTTGCACTCAGAAAGTCCATCCTGTCAACCAAGATGCAAACTTACCAGCTACAGTCAGAGTCATTTTAACAGTGGGGGCGAGCTCAGCAGAAACGAAGCAGCTGGCAGCTTTTGGTGGCAGGTATGTCAGCTCACAGTGAACAATGGTCCCAAAGAAAAGCAGAGTGAGCAGCTGTCAGAGAACAACACACATACTCCTCATCCTCAGCTCAGAGGAAGCTCACAGAGCCGCTGCTCTGACCCCAAGCTTAATTCAAGGCCTGCCCCCAACCCCACACACCAATCACAAGCTGCCAGGGGGTTTGTCACAAGGCGCTGTGTACCGTTGAAACATTCAGTTAATCAGTTCTTTAAGAAACAGAATACAGATTGGCTTTTTATGTCCTGCATTACAGGTAAAATCTGATTTCTAGATTTCAGATTTTTTTTTTAGTGTCAACTTTATATTAAAAAATAAAAACTATCCAAAGGCCTTAAAGCTTGAGGTAGACCTGGCTGACAAGCCAAGGTCAGGATTGCTCATACTATAACAACTTCCTCAGTCACAGAGTAGGTCCACCCTAAAACTGTTTGTTCGTCTATTTTACCTTCTGCAGTTGCCCACAGTTGGGGGTTGCCCACTCATGTCTTCACATCTACCTCCTGAGGATTCCCACCCCATCATTCTACTTTGACGAGTCTCTCAAGCTTCTGTAGATTTGATGGCCACAGCCTTTCAGTGGGATGTGCAGGTCGGTCAATAATATTCACTTTGGACTTTGCCATGTAGTTCTTCACCAGAGATGATGTATGTTATGGGTTGTTGTTTTGAAAGACACAGCGATAACCTAGATCTAATTCTGCTGCTTGAGGTTTCTTTCAAATTTCTTCACGTCCTTTCTTTATGATTCCTTTCACAATACTCCCAACACAGTGTTTCACTGAGAGGATGGTGTTCTTTGGGTTTCTTTTTCTAAACATAAGAAGAGCTTCAGTTTAATGTCATCTGACCAAAGGATGGCCTTCCAGTATGCATAATCTTTCTCCAGGTTGTCCTGAGCTTGAACATATCGCTTGTGCAGAAGTGGAGTTTTTCTTGGTGTGTAAAAGGTTCTGGTATTGACCTTCTTTAAGACTACAATTTCTGACAGGGAAGTCAGTCATTGCTGTCTTCGTAGTGGTTCTGGAGTCTTAAGCCACTTCTCTCACTAGTTTTCTTTTCAGCATGTTTGAAATCATCCACTTTTCATCTCTGTCAGGCTTTTTCTATATGGTGTACAGAAAAAGTCTAAAATGTTTTTTTAGCATGTTTTTTCAAGTGACAAACCCTTGCTTAAGTTTTTATACTGTGTGTAAGTTGGAAGTTATCCTTCACATTAAACTCAATTTTGCTTTGAGCATTACAGAGATGAAGCATTTTCATTGCACAGCTGTACTTCATGCTAGTCCAGTTTTTCAGGGGGCTAATATTGTTGACAATTCTTTTTTGTCGTTATTCTATTTTATTGTGTGCAAACAGAAATAATTTATGCTTCTAAAGAAAACTGGTACGTGTAGAAACGCTATGCTGAAAATAAAATATTAATAAAAAAATCAATTCACCTTTTTAAATGTGAGCTTTTGCTATATTTCTTCCATTCAGATAATCCATTTAGTTGGTTTCCCAAGTTATCAGTGGTTTGTTGCTGAAATCACCTGCAAGCTTTAATGGTGACCTTTACCCTGACCTTTACCTGCTGTTTAAAGGTCAAAGGTTGAGATTCCACTCCAGCTGGCACAACGTAAAGGCACGTATCATTGCACCACAAAGAAAAAACTGCAACGTTTGCTTAAAATTCACTAAAGCTATCAGCTGCAGATTGTTGTGTGTCCATTTGGCTGTAGGGTGTGTGAAGACCGTGGTGAAACGTTTCTGTTCAGCGCGCACACACAGGGCAGAAGCAGTTTCGTGTTTGAGCGCTTTTCAATGTTCATTTACGCTTCTCCAAACACTCGTTTTGACCAACGTGCAAAGCAGCCACAGCTCTCACTGAGCTCTTACTCACCTGAACACTGTCAAAGTAACGGAAGGGCCTCAAAACACACCCGAGAACAACACGGACAACTTCAGACGGGGATCGAGTAGGGCTCAGACCGGGGAGTTCATTTTAATTTAAAAACAAATAACATTAAAAGGTGTCGTCATCCTGCCTTTAGCTTGTAGCTGACAGCAGCCACAACCAGCTCCGCGCAGCGCGAGCCGGGATGGTAAGTGACGTAACGGTGCGCCCTTTAGTGCCAAGTGGTGATTGGCTAAAAACGCCTGTCAATCGAAGCTGCTGGCCATTAACCCTTCTTCCTTTTTCTACAGATAGATCCACCAAACTGCAAAACTCTACAAAGAAAACCAAGAAAACCCTGTTTACGTCCCCAAGCCCCCAAAATTGTCACATCTAAAACTTTTATGCTGTTTGCTGCAGGTTTTAGCCCCATTTCTTTATATTATTTATTTATGGTTATAACGGGAGGAATGCATGCTTTTAAAAGGAGCTGGTGGATATTTAAATTGATCCATTTATCTGTCTCTCTGTCTTTTGTAGGCCAGTGCTTAATTTTACAAAAACAAAACAAAAACAGCTTTAGTACAACTGCCATTTATTCTTTTAAAGTTAACAAGCCTTCATTACTGATCTCCTGTTTCCACATATCTTACTCTGGTTTTATTTGTATTGTATTCATTTCTATTAAAAAAAGAAAAAGAAATCTTCTATTGTTGATAAAAAAAAAGGTTTCATTTATATAAACACTGGTAATACAATTGAAACCCTATAGTTACCTATTAATTTAGTTGCAAACAGGAAGAGTCTGATTATAAATTATTAACTGAACGCAACACAAAAAAATCCTCAGCTGTTTATGTGCAGATTGATACTGCCCTCTTGTGGCTAATAGGCTTTTACTGCAACTGTCTGGAGGATTTAATAGAAATCACAAAGTAAAGGTATCATCACCACCTGGGTTGAGCTTTGTTCTGCCTTCTGAGGTTTTCAGTGGTAAAACACCACACTATGCAGTGTCTACCTTATAATGACATAGTGTCATATAAGGTAGACACTGGCTAAAACTTTCCAATATTGGTGCTCATTTCCCACACATCACTGCAAGTTGATTTACAAGATTGAGATATAGAAAAGATATCAATATTTTAAAAGGTTGTGCTGCACATAATGTCCCCTATACTGCATTCATGTGTCTTTCAGACTGTATTCTGACAGTGGACCATCTATTATAACAGATCCAGGTGGGTATGATAGTTTAACCCCAGTCTTTAAAGAAAAGTTTAAAACCTGTATTGTATCCACTGCTGAGACTCCTAAACATGAAAGAAGCACAACTGAGGCCTGATTTGGTCGGTTTCTTGCTTTATTGGTGACATGTTCCGTTACAGTTTCTGGACAGCTACTGCGTGTTATCTACCACCACAGACATTTTTCAGTGTCTTGCAGATGTAGGAGGCCAGGCTATGTTCATTAAACAGGTTTTCTGAAAACCTGAAGTGGCCAAGTGACACACACTCACTCACACACACGCATAAACACATACACACAGAGGTGACACGCGGGCGCCAGCTTGGACGGTTTATTATGGTGGAATCTCAGAGCCGAGAGCAGCGCGCCTTTGGGGAACTAAATTCTGGACACCGGCGCGTGACAGTCACTGGGAGAGGAAATCCAGGGCAGTGTCTCGCTCCTCCACCAGCTCTGCCGCTGTGGCGTCCATCTTGGCTCGGGAGAAGTCATTGATGGGAAGGCCATCGACCACTTTCCAGGTCTTGTTCTGTGGATAGAGAGAGAAGAGTCAATGGTTGAGCTATGGACAAAATGCATTAAATCTCAAACTCATCTTCAACTAAGGCTGTCAGCAAAAGAGCATTGTTGTTACACTGTTATTGTTACTGTGCGACAAACATCGACTAAAAGCATGAAGTGACTTACATGTGACTAACCTACAGTTTTGGACACTAATGTATCTTATACATCATCTGGGAGACGAGTATATACACTTTATATACAAGTACCAGTTATAATGCCGACTAAATTTACATGAATGTGATAAGGGGCACACGTTCATTTTGCAGCTGTTAAGTAATTAGGAAAGCTAGCCAACCACTTTAATCTGATTTTGGTTAAGCATTGGGTAACATGAGCCAGAATCACGTTTGATCACGAAAACCAAAAGATCCGTTCAGTGAGACAAATGTTCCGTCGATGTCCACTGCAGTATTCTGCTGTTTGACAGGCTTTAATATTTACAGCATGTTTTTTTTCTTCTTTTTAGCTGATATCAGCTAACATCAGCTTACTTGCTAACACTGACAAACTGCTTGATGCCCAGGCAAAAAGAAATACACCCTCAACAACCTTAAAGAGTTTGGGCCATGTTCATTTTCTGAACCGATGGAGGCAGAAGAGTGCAGGTGGACATGCTGTTGAAAAGACAAATCGGTTTGCTACAGATTTACAAGCACTAACATTGTTTATTTAGCTTCACATAAGGACCATAAAGCAGCAGCAGTGTGGGAATGATCTGCAGCAGCTGTTTATATAGACAGATGTATGTAGCCTGTATATAAACCAGCCCAACACAAGAACCTGGACAGATTTTGAACAGTCACTTGGGGCGATCGTGGCTCAAGAGTTGGGAGTTCGCCTTGTAATCGGAAGGTTGACGGTTCGAGCCCCGGCTTGAAGTGTCTCGCCCAAGGACACAACGACCGAGACGGTCGTTGTGTCCTTGAGCGAGACACTTCAGCCGTTGCCTACTGGTGGTGGTCAGAGGGCCCGGTGGCGCCAGTGTCCGGCAGCCTCGCCTCTGTCAGTGCGCCCCAGGGTGGCTGTGGCTACGATGTAGCTGTCATCACCAGTGTGTGAATGAGTGGGTGGATGACTGGATATGTAAAGCGCTTTGGGGTCCGTAAGGACTAGTAAAGCGCTATATAAATACAGGCCATTTACCATTTACTTCCTAATCTGGACCTATTTTACGGTCCAGCATGTATTCACCTTGATTTGGACTGGGAAAGAATAGATCAGGTCCTCTGGGATGTTGTAGGAGTTTCCAGAAGCATAGACACCCATGGAGACAAATTCACCCTTGAAGACAGGTAACAGTTTCAATCAGTTTGCATCAATAACATGTAAGCAGAAATGTATAAAGAAAGACTACAAACTCAGCAACTTGTCTGGAAAAAAAGAAAAGAAAAAGCTTTTTTGATGTGATCTTACAGGTCTAAAGATGAGTACTTACCTTTCTGACCATCGGGATTCTTATTATTGTCAAACACTAAAAAAATAAAATAAAATTGAGCTGGGATTAATCTCTGTATCCACACTGACCTCCTTGGTGCCAAACCAGATGTCCCTCATGTGGTCACAGATGGCCTTGGCGGCAGACATGGCACTGGACAGCTTCCTGGCCTTGATGACAGCAGCACCACGCTGCTGCACTGTCTGCAGGATGAAGAGGAGAAGGTTTCACATTAGAACAAAGTTTCTGTCTGTTTGTTATGTTTGGCATGGAGTCAATAACTCACAGAGATGAAGTCTCCTCTGAGCCAGGCATCGTCCTTGATGGCTTGGTAGGCTTCCGTCTCGGCTCCCTGGAGGTTGACCTTAGCGTGGTGGACATCGGGGTACTGGGTGGAGGAGTGGTTGCCCCAGATGATGACGTTCTTCACTTGGTCAGAGGACACGCCACAGCGCATCGCCACCTTCAGGAGAGAATACAACAACAAAAACAGAAGTAGTATTTTAAAATAGTAACCATGATATGTCAACGCTATAATTAATGGTGCGTTTTCCAGTTAGTGGTTATTCGATATAAAATCTTTTATCAATATAAGCAAAAAACCCCAAAACAAACTGTTACTGGGGAACTTAAGTGTATTTTTCCATCTGACAGAATCGAACCAAAGGAAAGTTTGAGCACCTGAAAAAACACTTTGTGCAACTAAACGTTCTGGGCCCTTGTTTGTGCGTGATATTGTTCAGCTGTCTTTGCAAAGACAAATGTCAGTTTCAGATCTTAATGTACATCACAATATTATAATACGGTTTACTCCAAAAAACAAAACAAGTTTAAAGCATGTCCGGACATATTTAGGGCAGAGACGAACTACAGTCACGTCAGATAGGATTTTATGCATTACTATAGTTCACAATTCAAAATAATTTCATGATGACAACTCTCGTCAGCTTGATTTAAGAGTTTCTCACAGAAACTGTCCCAGCAGGATGAGTGTTTAATTGCCTCAGTGATGTGTGGTCAACAGCTGGTTGGAGATGTGAGCAGGTTGTCCTGTATTATACAAATGTATATTGTAAACAAAACAATAGTAAATTGTAAACACATGTACCTGGGAGCAGGCTCTGTTGTGGTCCAGTCGGGTCAGGCAGGAGAAGTTCTCTTTAGGGATGGATGGAGCAGACTTGGAGGCGATCAGACAGTTGGTGTTTGCGGGGTTTCCAACCACCACAACCTGTCAGGGTGAGATCCAAACATATCTGTCAGACACAGAGTCTGAGACAATTTCCTGAATTTGCTTTGCCTGCAGAAAGCAAATGAACAACTGGCAAAACAGAGTCACAGGGTGAGCAGAATTTAGAAGATGCTCAAATCTTCTGTTATCCTGAAAATACACATTTATTAAAAAAAAAAAAAAATTTAAACTTTTAAACTAATGGAGTAATCAAAAACGTAAACGTTTACAGTAAAGAACGGCACTAGCGATTTAGCTCTACGCTGGTAGTGACCCGAGTTTGTAGCTGCTCTGTTAAAAGTCAGCAGGGCAGGTTGTTATGGCCCACGGCGCTCTGTTGCATAAACAAACTCAGAAATGAATCACACAAATAAATTTAGCTCTCTTGACAAAAAGGACTTAAAACACAAATATTCTTCTCCCCTTTGTAAACAGAACTCTGGCATGAAAAAGAAAGATTTTTGAAGATAAAGTACTCGGGACTAATCCTCACTGAATTAGAGATTTTAAGATTAGGCACAGTACAAAATGCAAGTTCAACAAAACACACTTGGAACCTTTGGAGACCTGCAGTTCTTTTATGCAGCAGCATGACGCTGCTGTGTGACGTCCAGCAGACAAACAGATGGTTTTGACATGCAAAAGACGTTTTCTGGATAAGCACTTTCACTTCCTGTGTTCATCAGCTGCAACTGGCTTATTAAGTCACAGATTTTCAAC